TATTTTTTTTTATCTTTTTTCATAACTTTTTATTAACAACATATAAACACAGAACACCGCTACTGCTGAGGCTGCCAGCTCTTGTTTATTTTTTATTAATTTATTTTTTCAACCTGTCAATCAATCCAGTAGGCGTGTCAGCAAATGACCAATCGGTGACCTCAATTTGTCCGGAAGGTAAACGCCCCTTGCAGCTGCTCAGGGTGGATGCTTGAGTATTTTTCATTCATTAAACCTTTATTTATACAGGTTAATCCCATTGAGCCTCGGGGACTCATTTACAAGAGAGACCTAATTTAACTAAGAATGATGACAACAGTGGATAACAACAGACAATCATAAGAGGCATATAGATTTAAACTTTTTAAAAATTTTTATACAAATTAAAATAAAATGGCAACCAAAAGGACAGTCAAGGAAAAGGAAAAGGTAGCAAAAAAAACAGCTAGATTATAAGGTGGTGTAGAAAACTAAAAACAGGAACATGTCTGCATTGGTTCTTGCCAGGAGTCCAACAGATTCTTGAAGCCACTTGGAGAGGTCAAGGTCGAGAGCTTCAAATCTTTTTGCAAAATGTTTCAGGAAACAGGAGCAGAGTAGGAGAAGGCCCTTTGGCCTAATTCAATCCACACTGAGGGGACACTGCAGGTAATAATGTCCTGAGAGCGCACGCTGTAGCTGCACTCACGCAGAGTGCATGTGTGCAGTATGATGTCTCAACCCTCTGCAGAGAGTGCACGTCGAGTTTGCGTGGAAAAAAGTCCACCCGAGTATACTGGGGCCTTAACTCCAGTTAAGACTGGTAGTAGCATTTTGGATCAACTGAAGCCTTTTCATTTGGACACCCAGATAACAAACCACTGCAATAGTCCAGTATGAGAGGCAGCACACTGAGCTGTTCACAGACACTGCAGGGGGTTAAAGCCACTGGTGTTGCAGCGGGTTATCAAACACCCCCAGCTCATGAATTACCACACAATTTAAATAATCCAAGTCCTGATCCCTGATAAACAAAAAGAACAAGTGCTGAGAGAACGACCACCTCTGAAGAGGCAGGTCACGTGGACACAATCAGCTTCATGATAAAACAGTCATGTTTGGTAAAAACTCATTAATTTTGGGGCGTGGGACTGAGTCAGCTGCCCAACACGTCACGCCATAGTTACGTGCCATGGCTGTCCCCGGTGTCAGATCCAAACAGTGACTTCATCTGTGCTTTTTCTCAAGGATATCCCTCTCTTTTCTAGGCACAATGGCCAGCTTCCTGTTTAAAGAAGGCCCAGCTCAGTCCGTTGCTCATCCATCCTCCACTCACGTCATTTCCTCACCGTCGAGCTGGCGCTCCTGCAGATACTGCAGGGTCTCTGTGGAGGAGAGAACGAAGGTTTACTGTAAAAAAGCCTAGAAATGCTTCTACTGTGGGAAAAAGTGAAAGAATGAAACTGAATAATCGTAAGAGTGTTGTTGAAACAGAGGGTGACTCATCAAAGAGGCCGATCGTCGGGGAAGATTACAGAAGGAAAGTGAAGAAGTTTCACTTTCAGGAGGCAGACGGCGTGAAAATCTTTTACTTAGTGCTAATTCTGTAACGTTCTGTTTGTAGTTGTGTTTATTCAAGTTCCCTTTTTTAATCGACAGGATTTAAATGAGCTAAAGAACAATACTTTATTCAAAATGGACGGAACAAAAACAGAAAGGCAACATGCAGGAATTCTGATTGTGTAAAATAATTTCTGTTCCGGGCAGATAACGTTTGAAGAAAAGCTTTTGGGAAGTCGTTCACACCAGAAAAAAAAAGGTTCTCTCTCTGATTTGTGTCTGATTAAACCACCTCAGTTTACAGAAAGGGAGCTTGAGGCTCCGTGTTGACTTCACCAGATCTGTTTCCTGCCTTTTTAGAAAAAAAACCTCTGTCCAAACAATTCTGAGGAAAAAAGCTGAAATCCCCGTGTCATGAAAATGTTAAGTGCATCTGCAAAACTTGCTGCTACGCTATCCGTTCTGGAAACATGTGTGCATTCATCTAACAAAGTGAAGGCAGGTCTGGATGGATTTTTAAAAAAATGTTGAAACGTTTCGTCTTTTATCCGAAAGACTTCTTCAGTCTGAGGAGCTGCAATAAACTCGGTCTTATAAATAGCACCTTCTCATAGTGGATCGACCAGTTTGTTGTTGACATCCAGAACTAGCTGCTCACATGATGAAGGAGCTGAGCTCAGCGTCCAACTGTCCCCCTCTTACAATGCTGTTATTGCATCACTCAGTCTGTGAATAGCAAGTGGCCATCAGGGTGCTGACGATCCATTGTTAGGCTGATGCTCTTTGATCATGTGACTAGCTAGTTCTGGATGTCAACAACAAACTGGTCGATCCACTATGAGAAGGTGCTATTTATAAGACCGAGTTTATTGCAGCTCCTCAGACTGAAGAAGTCTTTTGGATTCAAGACGAAACGTTTCAACAAGTTTTGTATTTTTTATTTGTTTTAATCCATCCAGAGGACCTGACTTAACTTTGTTCCATTTTTCTACCTGGATTATTGTGCATGCATGTGTGCATTCAGTTACAGAAACATCCCTTCCCTAAATATTCACTTTAAAAATATCTATTTTAGAAAGCATTTTCTTTTCAAAATCTCTTTTTTTTTTTTTCATCAGAAACGTTCTTTGCCTTTGGACAAGACGTGTAAGCTCATCAGAAAATCGTAGTTTTTAAAAATAGCCACGGTTTTGTAAACAGGGGGCTAAAAAAACCACCCCTGAAAGCAAAAAAGAAACTAATGGTAAATGGATTGTACTTTAACAACACCTTTCTGTTATCAAGATACTCCAAGTGCTTTACAAGCTGTGCCTTCGTTTACTCATTCATACAGCACTCTACTAGATCTATACAAACAATAATCAGTGATTTATCACATTCATGCACTGATGGGACACACATCAGAAGCAACGAGGGGTTCAGTGTCTTGCCCAGGGACACTTCAACATGTGACTGCTGCTGGACTCAAACCCCCAACTCTTGCATTGGAGGACGACTGCTCTAACCACTCAGCCACTGTGATGGTTTATAACAACGCTGTCAAACAAATTTACACAACAGTCAAATTTCCATTACACAGTTATTCTGGGTGCATTATTATTTTATTCCTTTAAAAAAAAATGCAACAGCTAGCTGCTACTGTGTCCACAATAACCGTAACATACGAAGTAAATAAGCATGTAGAGTGAAGTTTACACCAACGTAAAGTTTATAATGCACCGTGAGCTACACGAAACATTTGATCTGACACAAATGTTCACTTTAGTTTTGGCCTTATTTGGACTTTAGCTCATAAATTTAATCAAAATAAACTCAACTTTCTTTGAACAGAGGTTGTTTAAAGAGATATGGACGCTGTAATTGTTCATAACCGTTCTGCGGACCCCTCTCCTTGTTTAAAACATCTGTAAAGTTAACACATTTAATGAGAAGGCAAATAATTATATAGGCATGTAAAAAATAAGATCTGGAGCTTTAAATGTATTTTCTGGTCAATATAAAGTGTTTAGTTTTGTTGTGAATCCTACAATACAACAATAAAGAAAAAACACGTTCAAATCTGGGGTTTTCACTGACATGGTGATGTGTCATCCTAAATTTAACCATACCATACACATTATTACTTACAGCCGAATCGTGGTTACGTCTTGAAATATGTCTGGAGGAGAGTTTTAAAAACAAGCCCCATAAATGGTATGTCAAAAAAAAAAAGTAAGTTTTGATGTGTGAGCAAAAGCCTAATTACAGATGAAGCCCATCTGAGCAAGTTATTTTCTGAAATGTGGGGTTTTTGAACTGCAAAACAGACCCAGATGCACCACTCTGACAAATGAGGGATTTTTTTTTATCTGTCTGTGATAAATAAACTTGTGCTTTTCTAAATGCTCCTCTGTGTGGTTTGATTGATGGGAGAGATTTCATGTGTCAGTGCTGCACCTCCTCAGCAGGTTGGATAAAAACAACAAGAGGAGGAGAAATAAACATCAGCCTGTAGCTTTTGTTGAGGGGTGGGGGTTGTTCTGCCTTTATCTGTCATCAAGCTCCAAGTTTGGAGAAAATCAGCAAGAAAGACGAAGGGAAAACTGCAGGGGGTCAAGAAAAAAGAGGGAGAGTGAGAAATAAATCGTTTGTGGACCAACCCACTGCATGTTCAGTCCTGCCCACACATCACCAGTGACTGCGCGCTGAGCGACACGAACAGCCTCCTCTCCTCTCCTCCTGCCCTGGGATCACTTCTGTCCCACAATTGTTGCGGGTACTTGCGCTGGAAGTTTGTTCAGGTGAGTGGAAACTTTGCGTTTTTATCCAGAGCCATTACGCACCGGCTCCGCTCGATAATCCGCTCGACAAAGAGGAAGTTTTATCGTATTTTCTCAGTGATTTAAAGCGTTTTCTGACTTCCTGCTGAAGCCGAAATGACGTGATGTTTTCTACTGTAAGTTCGTAATTTGAAACAGAAGTGGCAAATATAAAATAAATGGAGAAACGATGCGTTTTGAAGTTTTGATGCGTAATTACGCACAAACTAAAGAAGTTCACTTTAAATGCTTGGAACTGGATTCAAACTCTTTATTTGTTATATTAATATAAAAAACTGTGAATCTTGACAAAACTTAACAGAAGGACAAGAAAACTTCCTCTGAGGTTAAATGAGTTCAGAGAATATATTTAAATTTACATTTTTCTTACCTCTAAGCTGAAATCTCTTGTAATTGTTCTTCTCATGGCTGCTTCTGTTTAGGATCATTTTGCTTTTTTTAAAATTTGAAATAGTTTCAATAATTATATTTTAACATCTTTATCTCTTCTTTTATGCAGGCTGGCTCTCGCTGCTCACCAGTGAGCATCCAGTGCATCGAGAAAAGGAGCTTTTTAGAAGGAAACTTCTAAAACCACAAGAAAGTCTGTCTGACTTCATCAAAAGGAACACTGTTTCCATTTCTTACATACCTGCCGAGAGACGGAAAAATGCACAATCGCAGGACTATCTGACGTCTAGCTTGTGGATCTAATTTTTACAATTAGAAAATCTAGAAGAAACAAACAGGAAACGAGTCTTCTGCTCCACAACAATGACGGACTCGTTCTACGCTGCCAAGGCTGATGTAGCTTCGTCTCCCGTCCCCATGGCTTCCTCAGGACGAGCGAGCAGTATGTTCAGCGAATACCAGAGCAACGAAGTCATCATCAAACACTACAACTACACAGGCAAGCTGAATGCCAGCAAGTACAAGACTGGACTCACAGGCGAGTCCATCGCTGTCCTGCTGGTCTGCCTGCTTATCGTTGCAGAAAATGCCATCGTGCTTGCAGCCATCTGGAAGAACAAGAAGTTTCATATTCCCATGTACTATTTATTGGGCAATTTAACTCTCTCCGACCTGCTCGCAGGTTTGACCTACATGATAAACATCATAACATCTGGTGCCAACACGTTACACATGACCCCTGTGCTGTATTTCCTGAGGGAGGGGTGTGTGTTCATCATGCTGGCAGCTTCGGTCATCAGTCTGCTGGCCATCGCCATTGAGCGCCATGTCACCATGGTGAGGATGAAGCCGTACCAAGGGGACAAACAGGGTCGGATGTTTATCCTGATCGGAGCCAGCTGGATGCTGTCCGTGTTTCTGGGCGTCCTGCCGGTCCTGGGGTGGAACTGTATCACACAGCTGGAGAACTGCTCCACCGTTCTGCCGCTCTACGCCAAAAGTTACGTCCTGTTCTGCATCACGGTCTTCAGCGCCATCCTCCTGTCCATTGTGGTGCTGTACGTTCGCATCTTCCGCATCGTCAAGTCCAACACCCAGCGCCTCACCACGGTACCACAAAGGAAAGGCCTTTACCGCAAGTCCAAGAAGTACATGGCGCTGCTGAAGACGGTCACCATCGTCCTGGGTGTCTTCATTGCATGCTGGCTGCCTCTTTTCATCCTCTTCCTGCTGGACTTCTGCTGCCCCATCGGACACTGCAAAGTGCTCTATAAGGCCGATTACTTTCTGGCCACTGCGATCCTCAACTCCCTGTTGAACCCCATCATCTACACGTTGACCAGCAAAGATATGAGGAAGGCCATCCTCAAGCTTCTCTGCCGCCACTGTCTCCTAACCAAAGACGGAAAGATGAAGAATTTCGGAATGGCCTTCTTAGATTTTAGCACCACTAAGACAGATGCAGCCTCTCACAGGTTGGAGGGACTGGAGACGACGGTGTCCTCTGGTAACTTTACACCCTCAACCGTTAAAGCCATTTATCCCAGGATTTCTAGGATATGACTGTCGTAGCCTACAGGTGCTTCGAACTGTTAAAAAAAAAAAAAAAAAACTTCTGTTGCACTTTTAAATCTCTTCAGGTTTTATTTTCATGAACAGTGTTTGTGATCAATGGTCAAACTGGGAGACAGAACTTTTCTGCTAAACATTTATATTTTTTTCATCTTTACTGGTAGCTGAACGTTAAAAGAAACCAGCATTACTATTGTCTTTCATGCCCCGTCTACTCTGGATATTTCTGTTCACTCCAACAAAAATGCTGAAATGTCCATGCTTCACCACTAGGTGGCAAGAAAGTTCATAACGACGTCAAAATTTACAGAGAACGTTTTTTTACTGATCAGTTATTAACCATTTCAGTACGTGATCAAAGTTTGACAACAGGATAGAGCAAGACAGACCTAGACAACGTGGGATAAACAGCTTATTTTGATTTTTAGGACACAAAGGGACAGTGGACACAAAAGTCTGTGTCATTTTCCAAAAGCTCCGTTTTCTGAGAACACACAACAAAAACAGACGTGTGAAAAGGGTCCACTTTGGAGCGTGTTTTAATTTGTTTTTGTGTGCTTATGTGTGAAATTTAAAAAAAAAAGTAAAAATATTTGAAGGAGTGCAGCTGCGACTCCTGAACGAGGTCAGTATTAGTCAGAAGGTATTCCCCATGAAATCAAAGCCGTATCAGTGTTAGCGGAGGGAGACATAAATCCAAGACAGCGTGCAGATGTTTTACATAAATACAGCCGGACTGAGTGAAGAAACGCCTGATTAGAAGATTTATCCTTATCTCCTGCTGCCTTTGTAGGGTTTAATGACATGTTGTTATGCACCCGGAGCATCCACGCCCAGAAAACTCAACTGCCAGAAGAAAGAAAAACCTCATGTAATTTCTGCCATGTGAGTTTTGGTCAGCACTGATGCTGGGACATCAGAGGCTCGGCGGCCCGAAGACGCACGGAAGACGTCAGATGGAGGGCTGAGCTGGGTGGCTTCAGCTCTGGAGGTCCTTTCAACATATGTAGCAACACATGATGAGTGCCCTGACAGCAATAAAATTTGACAACGGAGGCTTGTTGACGCCTTTTCCTTTGGTTGACCAGACGAATACGACAGAGAAAAGTTATAGCTGTAAACTTTGCCGTCTCTTGTCAAAAAGAAACCTGTAGACTTTTTTATGTAGAGATATCAGTCTAAAATTGTGGTTCCCAACCCTGGTCCCTGAGGAACACCATCCTGCATGTTTTAGTTCTGATCTGCTCCAACACACCTGGTTTGAATGAAAGGATTAACAGGCTTCTGCCAAACTTGAAGAAGTAATTAAACCACTGAAGCAGGTGTTTGAGCAGAGAAACAACTAAAACATGCAGCATGGTGTTCCTCAGGGACCAGGGTTGGGAACCACTGGATGATAAAAAAACAGAAGTGAACTGACTGCAGTTTCTTTCACATTGTAAAATGAAAGCTGTCCTAAACGTAAAATGTGAGAAAGATTTTATTTACCTATATTTAGTATCCTTTGTAAATATGCACCACTAAGCTGTGTCTCGTTTTGTGAAACCTTTAAATTATGATGCCGGTTTTATATCTGCACTGAATAAACATGTGAATGATTTTTAAATGCAGTTTTGTTCGTTTTCATTTCTCAGCGTTATCCAACGACTTAAAGCGTTCCACCAGAGCATTTTACATCTTCGTCTCGGCCATTGTTTCCTTTTAGAAACCTTCGCTTATAGACCTTGTTCTTTGTGCATATATTTAAATTTAATCTGGTTTAAAGTATAAAAACACAACTGATGTGTGCTTTTGTTGATACAAGTTTGATCAAACAATAAAGATGCGATTAAAAACTAAAACTATCCTGAAAAGCCCAACTTTTATTTAAATGTTTGTTAATTTTAGGTGACTTTGCAATAATCCAGTGAAGCAACTGTTTCTGTTATTAGAAATTGTGAGCAGCTGGATCAAAGAGAAGCTGAACTGATGTAAAGTGAGAAACCACTTGCTAAAGCCACTTGAAGCTGAGGTGCTGGTGAGGTGGCCGAGTCGAGCTGATGCTCAGTTTACCGTAAAAAAACCACGTGTGAAAACGCTCCCCGATTGTGCATGACATCCTGCCCACTCCAAACCACTCTGCTGTACAAAAAAAAACAAGACTCGTTTTCAAGTAAGGGGGTGAAGAGATTCAGTTCTTGTAGAGCCGACCTGAGCGTGAACAGAAGCCACAGACGTGTGACCTCACTGAGGATAAATCATACGAGACCATATTCTGCTGATTCAGCATGATCCCAGCTAAATACTGACACATCACTGCAACAATAAAGTACACTTTGGGAGGGAAACTCCTCAAAGATAGTCTTTTTCAACCTCGAACCATAAGAATATAAGTAATTAAACATATTATATCTTAAAAAGGTATGATAAACTGTTTTAATCGTGTTTTTAAACAGCCAGCTCATAAAAACACACTTAATAGTTAATAAAAGTAGATATTAGCTCAAGGCTAAACAAACATAAATACTCTAAATAAATAATCCTTTCAAAACTGTAACCTAAATTTCAGCATGTACTCTTTATTTACATGATGTTGGAGAAAAATGTCCTGTTTCTAAAAAAAAAGCTCCCAGGAAGCAACAAATACCTGCTTCAGCGTCTCCACACTGACATCTAGTGGCCAAATCACTGTATTACAAGATTATCTGATCATAAAAACAATCAAATGTTTGACATATTTATTCACATGTTCAAGACATTAAAAATGACGCAGATGACATAAAAACAAGCATATACACAAATAAATGAAGTTAAATAAAAATCTCTAACTGTCTTTGTCCCATTCTGAGCTGACAAAGTCCCACAGCTGGTGGCTGACTTCACTGGGAGAGCGAGCGGATGTGTCCACGTTAATGGGAGTCGCCAGATCAGCCCCATAATGCACTGCAGCAGGAAATAAAAAAAAAGGGGAGAGTAAAGAACAGCTGTAGATTCATGCACACATGGAAGATGAGACGAGGGACGATTAGATTCAGGAATTTAACTGGTCTAAAACTGCTAAAAACAACATTTTTAAATAATAACATACAAATGCAGTCGATATAATTAATTAACGAGACTTATTCATCTGTGCAGCTTATCTGCTTTTTGAAATGACTGGAAGTGGCACATGTTATCAGTCTCGTTAAATACACAGAAAGTCCACCTGACTCCCAGAATCTCTTGTTCAAAGTTTGACGAATCAATCTGGTAGCGTTCAACGTGAAGTCTATTTCATGTTGTTTGCACATGCAGTTCTTCAGATGTTCACATTTCAAATTATGACATTTTTTGGGGGGACGTCTTGTATTTTAAGAGCCTGACTGTCTGAAAAGCAGCTGACGTGAGGCGGCAGACCACCAAGATTCGTCTTCATTGTAAGTATTCTTGCAGACCAGCGCAGCTGCATATTAGAACGAGGGCAAACAGTGCAACTTCTAGAGATCTTTGTCATTTATGAAAGGTGTTCAGTACAGTATTGAGTACAGTACAGTATGCATCAGGGTGCTCAGTACACTTTGGTGTTCATGGATTTTCTCTCCTGGCTGGTCAAAACATGGCTGACGTGCGTTTTATTGAATATTAATCTAACAAAGTCAGGTCCTCTGGATGGATTCTCCTTTGTTGAAACGTTTCGTCTTTCATCCAAAAGAAACGGCACCTTCTCACAGTGGATCAACCAGTTTGCTGCTGACAGCCAGAACTAGCTGTTCTCATGTAAAAGGAGGACCATCAGCCTAACAATGGATCATTAGAACCCTGATGGCTGCTTGTTATTCACAGAGGGCTGAGTGACGCAATAACAACACTGTAAGAGGGGGACAGTTGAACCCGGAGGCCTCCGCTCCCGTTTAATGATGGACGGTTCTCTTCACAAAGATGTCTTCATTTACCCTGCTCTCTAAAACAGCAGCGCCTCAGACTGAAGAAGTCTTTAGGATAAAAGACGAAACATTTCAATAAGAGGAATCTGACAAGAGAACTTCACCTTGTTAGATTTATCTACCTGGATTATTGAGCATGAAACAGGACATTGACTATTAAGTTGTTGCTTTTTTAATTAAAGAAGTACCGTGTTTTTTTTACCTATAAGTCACTTTTTTTGCATAATTTACATGCCCTGCGACTTATACGACATATTTATGGATTTTCCCCGTATTTATAAAACAATTTTTGACTGAGATCTGACCGTTTTCATTCATTCTGATTGAAAATATTGAACATTACCATTTACAGCCATTAGACGGCACTCAAGTTGTATGGCATGCCGTTGTGTCATGTAATAGGTAAAAATAGCTATTAGCGACACAATCGGCTTGCCACAGTCTGCCACCTTGGTCCTGCTCGCCTGGAGCAACCGTTAAATCAGCTTCATTTCACTGCGCCGCCCCGGTGAAACGCAGCTGATTTGACGGTCAAAGTTCATTTATTAAGGAAAAGTTAGACTGAGACACAACTTTACTATAATTTCGAGCAAACAAATAATTGTTTTTAAGTGTCAATCTTGTTAAATACTTGTTAAAGTCCTACCGTGCACGCTCCCGCAGCCGCCATTTGGCAGCCAATCGACTTTTGCCACAACACCGGCCCACGTTTCTGGGTTGTCAGCGGTGACGCGTAATAGAAGCAACGTATTTATGGATTTTTCCATTTTATTAGACATATTTGGACTGAGGCGACTTAGAGGGCGGTACGACGTGTACGGTGGAAAATACGGTACTTGTCACATTTTTCCCAAGTAAGGGATCCATTTACTGTTTTTATGATTAAATCTCATTGATCTGCATCACTTTCAGGGTGTTGGTAAAGTTAATTCAATCGGTGCTCCTAAAGTTCTTCTTTAGGAAATGTATTATTGTTAGGGAGTGACTGCAGCTGTCCGTGCAAACGAGAGAAACTGCTGAATATTTTGCATAAAGTTAGACGACTCACAAAACCACAGCAGGACACACAATTAAGAATCTCGTGACAAGGACAGCATACCTCCTTTTAAAATGTTGGGTGGTGTATCGTACTCCCACTTGATCTTGGTGATTAGGTGGTACAACTTAGCCACATACCTGTGAAGTTTATGGACACAATATGTTAGTAAATAGAGTCAAACTACACACAGCTACTGTCATCGGGAGACCAAAGCGTGACGAATGAAAGAAACGGTCTGGATCGAGTCAGACCCAGTCACTGGTTTCCAGCAGGCTGAGCAGCTGTCGTTTGGACTTTTGCTACTCACAAGGCCGACGGGATGACCTCTGTGGTGTCTTCATCCACCTCACTCTGAAACGTCTCGAGTTCTTCCTCTGTCGTTTTCAGACTCTCCAACTGTTTCTGCAGAAATCTGGAGGAATGTTCAGGAAAATAAAAAAAAAAGAAGAAGTCAGGTGGACAACGGAAGGATTTCTCTTTTCAACGCTTGTTTTGATGCTTTTTCTGTGACGAGCACAGACGTCAAAAGGATTCTGTATTTCGGAGTCAACGATCTGACTCTTGGCCGTGCACCGTCTCAGCTGCTCCTCCAGGTTCTCCAACTCCTCCTCCCTGTGCTTCTTCACCTCCTTCATGTCCAGCAGCCTCTGGCCTGCACTCTCCTCAATCTCTGCCGTTTCTGGACATTAAAGGCACAGAATTATGAATACAGGCTCAAATAAATACACTCACCCAGATAAGTGGGGGCTAAACCCAGTAACGACAAAACTTAAAGCTGGGTTTTGGACACAAGTCGACGGATTTGATGCCAAGCGGGATCACGTTTGCTTGTGTTTACTTCGGTTGCACAACAACCAACTGAGTTTTTAGTTTTATTTTTCCTGCGAGGAGAAGCTGTCCTCCCACCAGAGGGACAGGCTTCGAAAGAACACACACCTCGGCGGTGCAGGAGGACGTCGGAGAGAGAGATGTTGGATCAACTATTTATTTAAAATTCCCCTCAGTTTTTTTTTTTTTTCACTCCATCCAATGTTTTCAGCTGCGTTAAGCAAAGGAGTGACGGCCTGAACGAGCCAGATGAACAACATGGCGTCAGCACCCAGGAAGACAACAGAGAGGAGGGGTCCAGTTCATCACTGCAGTTTACAGTCAACTTGTTTTTAATAGTGTGTTCAGTTTAATTATCAGTGTTTGTGTGGCGTACAGTTTGTGGTGTCAATAAATAAAAATTTAACCTGATGTCTTTGTTTTCAACTTTAATAGCGTGTTTCACGTCGTTTAAATCACATAACTTGAATTATATAATGTCCACATAGCTTCATTTACATCTTCCACCACTTACAGAAATACGGTTTATTATTGTTAAACTGATATTATTTAGCACATTTTGTACGTTATAGTCCAGCGCCACACCTGCCTCGACAGGTTCGCTCAGTAAATAGCGATATTAGAACTGGACCTGACTGGCGTCTCTTCCCCACACAGATGTTGGTCACAGCAGCTTTATTCTGCTGTAGATTAATTAAATACGAGGCTCAAAATATATGCCAACAGTCGTAGCGCAGAAAGAACTGTGTTATACGTCCAGCACCAGTGTTGTTGGTAGAAATATGCAGTTGGTCCGCGCATGCGTGAAATATACACCTGCAGTGCACATGTGCTTTAACACCTGTGTGGGGGTGCACCCGAAAATCTCCACTCTGAGACCTGGGTTCAAAAACATCCAAATTGAGTGAGGGCTGAGGCTGGTGTGTAAATGAGCAGCCGAACCACAAAAAGAAAGGTGCGGTTTTATGCAAAACACACGCAGTGTAAACGGTTAATGGCCCCCGAGTTTATGGCAGCTCCTCAGACTGAAGAAGTCTTTTAGATAAAAGATGAAATGTTTCAACAAAGAATCTGTCCAGATGACCTGACTTAACTTTATTAGATTTTTCTCCCTGGATTATTGAGCGTGAATCAGGACAGTGTGAATGGCTGTCTGTCTCGTTTGTCTCTATGTGTCCCTGTGATGGACTGGAGACCTGTCCAGGTTGTCCCCCGCCTCTCACACTGTGACCCCCGTGACTCAAAAAGGAAGAAGCGATCTACTGTGGGGAAAAATGTACAGTATGTCAAATAAATAATTAAACCCCCCAAATTAATGTAGCATGTCCATGAGATGATGTAAACTTTTGACAGTAGCTATACATCTTAAAATGGGTCAGTTTATACATTCAGATGATGCATTGTTGAGATGTGACCTAATGTGAGAAAACACAAACAGCTAAACAGAAACTAGAGACAATCACACGTTTGCTTTCTTGCCTTTTAAAATCTGGGTCACCATCTTCCTGGTTTCCATGTGTTGATGGAACATGACCTGCTGTTCAAACTGCACTTGTTTCAGTTTTTCAGGCTGACTGCTTTCGATGAAGCCGGTCACAGCCTCCCCGATCTCCTCCAAGTCTTCAAACTTGTTACCTTGAATCATGGCTGGCAGCTAGAAAACACAAAACAGACGAGATCAAGCAGGAGGAAGCTTCACTCTCCAGTCCCGGAACAAAGAGTCACAACGATGTTGTTTTTAACGAACAGGTCTGGTCCATGAACACAGCAGGAAGGTCAATCTGTTAAACTGGTCATACTTTAACATCTACCTAGAAAAACAAAAGTCGCTGTTCCATTGAAACACGACCAGATGACCAAGTCTACAGTTTTCAGTTTAAACTCTACAGATGAACTGACATGACACACAGAACTCGAGAGGGACCACGGTCTGTTCTGGTTTTAATTATAACATGTACGCTTTAAGAAAAAAAAACGTAGAATAGTAGATAAACATAAAAGGCCAGTTTTAGATATATGTATATCGTTTAATGTTTAAAGAAGAAATCAACGTTTGGACCATTTAAACCGAAAAACATACCGTGTTAGCTTTTATTGCGATTCGAATCTGGAGCAAACTTCCGCGCGCCCGGAGTTTTCTTCTTCTTTGGTGGTTGGCGGACTAACTCCAACCCTTCCGCTGCCCCCTGCTGGTGGATAGTGAGTACTGCAGCGCTGTGTTGCTCTTAAGAGCTTGAAACATTTAAACTTTTTTTTTTTTTTTACCTCAGTTTTGCTACAGAGATCACAGGTTGGATCTCCAGTATTTAAAAAGTTAAAACCAAATGGGGAAAAGTGCACCACTGTCAAAGATGGAAAATAAAAATAAACTAATCCAAGCTCCAGCCATAAAACAATAAATACAAAAAAGTCTAGTGAAACAGTTTTTAGATGTTTTGTTGTGATTTAAAAAAAGCTATTCCCAGCTTTACCCATTTTGTCCAGGCACAAATGTAATTTCTGTTGAACTCAGCTAATAACAGCAATTGACATGCAACACCCAGGTTTTGAGCGTTGCTCGAGTTCTACAAAACATGAACTATCAACGGTAATAATTTTACAGGAACGCCACACCTTCAATATGCAGAGGAAAAACAAGCATACTAGATAGTGTTTCCTGAGCCGCAGTAGACCTCATCATGTTCAAAGTTGGTTTGGCGTCTACAGAACTATCATTACGCTCATGTAAAAAAACAAGCATGTTTATGAGCTCATCAAAATAAACACAATCAATTGAACTTGACGCACTAAAAAAATACTGTAACTACATATATTTAGTAGTAGTAGCTAGTAGTCAAGTAAAAAATGCATGCAAGAAAATAAACACGATTGATTCAAAATGATTTATTTTTACTGTACAAATATAATTTAGTCATAAAGGTTTGCCACTGAGCAAGAAAAAAAAAATTAAAGTTCCAAATTGAACTAAAACACTGAAAAATAATTTGAAACTGCTCTCACTGGTCAGTAATCTCTGCTGCTCAGCGAAACCCTTCATCACTCTTTGCTTTTCTTCTGGGCTTTTCGTCTCTGCCCGCCCAGCTGTCTGAAGAACAGTCTCTTGGGGTTCAGCCCATATGCCTTCAGTCTCTGTCTGCTGAACTCCCGCCCCCCTATTTTCACCCCCCCGAGCCCTGATCTGAGACGACCTCCTGGCAGCTTGTGCTTCTTCTTGGACCATTTTGGTTTCTCAGTCCTGTTTTTCACATCAGGTTGACCTGCTGCCTCCTCAGCTCTAACATGGGTTTGCTCTTCACGTTTCTTCTTCGTGGGTATTAGGACCTCCTCCTCCTCCTCTTCTCCTTCTGTGCTGTCCATGGCATCATGAAGAGCTCGGGGAACAGTCTCCTCTGACTCCTGATTAGAAACCACGCTGGCATCCTCTGCTCCTGAGCCAGACTTCTTCAGAGAATCTCTTCCTTTCTTCCCCGGCTTAGTCTTTGCCTCTGGAGCTTCTTTCTCCTCTCTGTAGAGAAGTTCAGAGAATTGTTGTAACAAGTTGCCAAAGATGTGAAAGTTTCATCGTCATGGGGGGAAAAGAAAACTTTTCCCACGGTAATGAGCGTGTGCAGAGTGATACTCACTCAGAATACACGGAGCTCAGGATTTCCTTCTTCTTCCTCGTGTTCTGTGCCTTGATTTGATAGTTCTTCAGATCTCTCAGCTCCTCCTTCTCAGTCCTAAGAAGCAAACAGATCTGTGCTAAACCATCTCAGACGGAGAGATGCAACCACCAGAGTCGGTACCTGAACATGCACGTCTTCCTCAGAGAGCACCAGACGTTCAGCTCCTTGTCGTTGGCGTGGATTATCTGAAGAGAGGAAGAAAAATCTGAATATTTAACAAGAGTTCTCACCGTCTGTCTGAAAGAGTTTACACGTGGAGCTGCAGCTCGGTCTGCTCAGAGAGAAGATCAAACTGGGATCATTCCCTGGTCAGAGCTCTCCACGGAGGGGAGCAATACCAGATCAGTCATCCAAACGCTCATCACTGCAGCTACATTATTTAATCTGCCAGCTTTAAGTCAACTCTGCCTGAAAGTACAGAAAATTATTAGCTTAGCAAAGTAATTCTATAAGGTCTGAACTTTTAAACATTATGTGACCTGTGGGCGATTTCAACGTATCGCTATTAAATGAAGATCTGATAGATTTTTACTTTAAAAAGTACTAAAATTACTGCGGCTGCTAAAATAAATCACATTGTTTCAATGCAACTACACTTGTAGTATCACTTGTAATGTAGGTTCAGTTATTATCAGATTACATCCTGATGCTCAACAATCCAGGTGGAAAAATCTAAAAGTTGAGTCAGGTCCTCTGGACAGGTTCAAAAAAATTAAAATTAAAATGCTTCAACAAGTTTTTAATTTTGTTTTATTTTTTTATCTGTCCAGAGGACCTGACTCAACTTTGTTGGATTATCAAATTATATTTTTTCAAACATGTCAGTAAAATACACTGTATAATATTTAGGCCTGTCTCGATAACACATTTTGCTGGGCGATTAATTGTGTCAGAAATTATTGAGATAAACGATAATATTGTTTGAAATTTGACAATAATTAGTTATTGTCAAATTTAAGAAGAAATGTTGGTTAATTTGTGTGGAGTAACTTTTTTGGCCACCAGATGGCAGTATAAGACTGTTTGAACTGAAGGATGGATAGTGAGGGAGCGAGCAGCGTGTCTCTTTAAGAAAAATGGGAGGGAGGCCCCTTGATGTGACATGGGCTGTCTTATTCCTGTTTGTCGGTTCTCAAAATGGCGGCCACTCGGTGGCTTAGCTCTTTTTAAACGCGTGTTTTTTTCACCACTACACCCGTCGTCAGCTCTGCTCGTTGAAAAGTTTGTTTCAAATCAGCGCTACGTTAAAACTGACGGGTGTCACTGCTCTGGTAGACAAGCAGTTACTGTAGATTGTTTTATTTTACCAGAAACTCCTTTTACAGTATCTTGGTGTTGGGGATCATCCTCCAATGCAAGAACTGGGAGTTCAAATCCACCAGCAGTCACATGCCGAAGTGTCCCTGGGCAAGGCACTGAACCCCTCACTGCCTCTGATGTGTGTCCCATCAGTGTCTGAATGTGATAAAGCTCTGATTAGTCTTTGTATAGATCTAGTAGAGTGCTGGATGAATGGATAAATGAGGCACAGATTGTGTTTAAAGAGCTTTGAGTGTCTTGATCAGATCGAAAGGTTAAATACAAGTACAGTCCATTTATTAAAAGTAACTGAACCTACAAGAATGAGATGCCGTGTATTTTTGAAACTGTTATGTTATAAACATCGACACCAGAAGGTTCATTCCCATCACAGACTGTCATATTTTGATCTAATCGTGGGCTGGCCTGATTGTTACATGTTGGTATCTGCAGCATGTTTACAGCTCAGGACCTGAACAACTGACAGGTGCGGGACTCTGTACCTCGTCTGTGGTCAGGCCGAAGTCGTTGGGCACAACCTGCCTGTAGCGAAACCTGCACGGAAGGTCGTCGATGATGTCCTCATAGTCCAACTTGTAGTACTCGTCCAAGTACTGCTCGAAGGTTTTCTCCTCTGAAACACAAAGAGCCCTCAAGTCAGAATACGGTAGTTGCACAGAAACACGAGTCGCTCGTTTCCCGAGACTTACGGGGGTCAAACACCGGCTTGTTTCTGGTGATGACCTCTGCAAACAAGGATTTCTTCCTCTTCTTGCCCATTTGAGGCAAGTCCTCCTTTTTGATCTTTCTCTTCTTCTTGGAGGTCGTGTGCTGGCTGGGATCGTAGTCTGCATCCATCTGCAGAAACACAACGAACGCTGAACCACTGCACTGCACAGGCCACAAAACAAGCTGCAGCAAACGAGTCAGCATACGATGAAGCCTTCATCCTCGCAGTGGGGCCCAGACGGGTCAAAATCTCCTCCGTCATGTTCTTCTTCACCATAGTCTTCCTCCTGTTCCTCTCCAGTCCAAGTGTCCCAGTTCCAGCGCTCTGATGGAAACGAGAAAACAACGTATGGCTGCAGACGATCGCGACACGGCTCAAAGACAACAAGTTAAAAGAGCGCCAGCTCACCCTCCAGTTCATCCTCATCCTCAAACTGAGGCTTCTCCTCTTCCTCCTCTCCATAATACTCTCTGCCAAAGAACTTCTGCAAACACAAATGGGTTAAAGGAGCCGAGAATTAAATACTACACATTTGCTTTGAGATAAACACTGAGGTTGTAGTTTTTGGACCTGAACACCTTAGAAATAATTTTTTAGTCTTTCTCCCTCCTTAGATGGCATTAATCTGTCCTCCAGCTCTAATGTTAAAAATCTTAATGTTATTTTTGATCAAGACATGTCTTTTATCCCCAACATCAAAAACGTTACTAGAACTTCCATCTGTGTAATATCACTAAAATTAGAAACATCTAAAAATGATGCAAAAAAACTGGTCCATGCATGTGTCACGTCTAGACTGGACTATTGTAATGGTTTATTATCTGGGTGTCCAAATACTTTTTTTTAAAACGTCTCCAGTTGATCCAAAATGCTGCTGCCAGAGTCTTAACTGGAGTTACTGGGAGAGATCATATTTCTCCAGTTTTAGTTTCTCTCCATTGGCTCCCTGTCAAATCCTGAAATGAATTCAAAATCTTACTTCTAACCTACAAAGTCCTCAACAACCTAGCTCCATCTTATATTTGAGATCTTATTGTTCCATATTTTCCTAACAGAGCAGTTCGCTCTCAGACTGCAGGTTTACTTGTGGTTCCTTCATGCTCAACATGAGAGTTCTGCGATGAAGCAGTCTGCTCCTCAGATTAATAATGTTAAATTATTTATATATAAATGTTTCTGTTCAGCCCTGAGATGACTTCTGTTGTGACTTAAATAAACTGAAATTATAATTCAGCTTTAAAATGGGCTCACCTTTCACAAGAACGAGCTCAAAGACTGAAACAAACTTTTCTCAAAGTGATAAACAGAAATCTTGTAGTTTGTTGGACTTTCAGTGTTAACGTCTGACCTTTAATTCTTTTTGCATCCCTCTTTGTGCTCACTTTAAAGCTCCTCTATTAGTTTTGTTTCTGTTGACAGCAATACAAAAATATTACGACTAACTTATTAGGTCTCATCTGTGCACTACTAGCAAATATTTTATTTATAAAAAATATACATTTCTAACAAAATTGCAGAGAAATCTGTGAAGCGTTGTTAGGGGGTGAAAATGTTCAAGTCGACAAATTAAATACAAAAAAGAAGATTAATATTTAGCTCAACATCCGCCCAAACACCACAGATCTGCAGAGTCTGACACTTTGTATTTGACAGTCGAGGAAAAACTTCCACAACGGGTTCAAACTGTGTACAACGTTCCTCCTCTGACCTGCATGAGCTGGTCGTGGTGTTTGGGGTCAAAGTCTCCCTCGAGGTCAGCTGGATTGAAAGCCAGCTGCTCGTTGCCCGTCAGCTCCTGCAGCTTCTTCAGCTTCTGCATGATCTCGTTCCTCTTCAGGTTCTTCAGCTGCTTCAGCTGCTCCCGCTTCTGCTCTTTCTCCTGGAATGATTGTCATGAAACAGGGTGACGGTCGTCAACAAACGGAGCAAATGGATTACTCTAAGCAGCTGTAACTTCAGTGTTTGACAACACGTTTTCTTCCACACACCTTTTCCTTTCGTTCCCTCACTTCCTCCCGTTTGCGCTTCCTGCGGTCGTCCTTGGAGCGGACGGACGTGGCGATGTTTCGGGGGTAGGTCTTGAGCTGGTGGGCGTCGGGCTCTTCAAAACGGAAGTTGTAGCTTCTCTCGAAGTCCTCCTGACGCGCCAAGAACAACTCCCCCTCCTCCTCGGAGTCCTCCACGTCATCCTGGACGATCTCATCGTGAGTCGGGATGCTGAACACACAGAAGCTGCTGTAAAAGCATCGTTTTAACTTTGGATCCGTAATAGTTATAATAAATGTCAGCAGCCAACCGGTCATCCTCCTCCTCTTCATCCAGGAAGCCCTTGTTGAGCATATAATCTCGGAGGAATCGCTCCTTCTCCTCCAGCTCCGGGTCATTCCAGTAGTCTCTTAAGTATTTCTGTTTCAACACAAAATCTTCTTGTTAGTAAGAAGATTTTATTTTCTAATGAAAATCCGCTCGTCACAGTTAAACCAGCTCACCATGTCCTTCACCTCCTCTGGCCCGTCCAGCTCAGCCTGACCTTTGAGCCACTCCACATAATCGGCCTCTTCTTTATCCTGCAACAGACACCGGCCGCTTTATCCCCGACGCTCAACACGTCGCGGTACATCTGAGCAGCAGTGACGACTCGTGGTTTCCTCACCGTCTCTTCTTGGGTTTTGATCCTCCTAGTCAGCAGATTCGAGCCTTCATCTTCCTCTACGTCTTCGTCACTGTCCTGGACAAACTTGCGGAAGCTGCAGGAACATTATTATTTTGTTGTTTAAGTTAAAAGATTTTTTTTAAAGAAGTGTCCAAGTTCGAGGACGGGGCGTGTCCAGGGTGCTTCAGCTTACCTCTCTTTCAGCTGCTTCTGCTCCTGGACGTAGCTCGGAGAGGTCATTCTCTTCAAAGGAGAAACAACGGTGATTAATTGATGCTTTACTGGAGTTTAAAAAAAAACATTACCGCTCACATGGAAAAGTTTGCCAACCTCTCTTCTCTCAGCAGCTTCCTCATCATCACTGTCGTCTTCGTCATCATCTTCGTATTTACTGAAACGTGAAAGAAAACATTGACCGTTTAAACTTCAGCTGCTTCCTGTCTTCTTACATCACAAATATGGAGCGATTATCGGAAGAAACGAATGCTTAAAAACTAATTATGAATTAAATTAATAAGTGTGTATTTTGTTCAAAGCAATTAATTTTCCTATAGAAATCTTGTCGAACTACAACGTTCGATCTTTCTATCTTTCTGCATTTGTTGGAACTTTGAATCTGTGAGTGAAAAATAACGAGTCTGTATAAAAAGATGTTTTTACATGTAATGCCCAGAAAAAAAACCATTACAAACAGAGAAAAGCTGTTGTTCTTGAATGTGTGGTGTAACTCTGCAACATTAGAACATTTAACAGAACCTCATAAAATGGTATAAAACATATGATTTTAATGTTTTTTTTAATGGAATCTGTAGTTAAGAAGTAACCCATAATATTATATCCAAATCAGTTTTCACTCAACACAAACAAATCAATTTCCTTTTTAAGTGTTTCTAAAAAGTTCCAAGCAAATTAAATAATTATATCAACCTTATTCTTAGATTAAACCAGGTCACTTTTTGTATTTTGGAAATTGAGAAGTGTTTTTCCAGAGTTAGCTGGATGCTGATGAAGGATACACCAGCTGGTTGTTGCAATCTGACTTCTGAAACCTACATCTAATCTAACTTTCATCTCAAAAATTCTAGAGAAAATAGTTGCAGGTCAGTTGCGTGAACATCTACAAAGAAATAATCTGTTTGAAGAGTTTCAGTCAGGGTTTAGAGCTCATCATAGCACAGAAACAGCACTAGTAAAAGTCACTAATGATATTCTCATGGCCTCAGACAATGGACTGGTGTCTACACTGGTCCTGTTAGACCTCAGTGCTTCATTTGATATAGTTGATCACAATACTTTACTACAGAGGCTTGAATATGATATTGGGATTACAGGAACGGCTCTAAAATGGTTTAAATCATATCTATCTGATAGATTCCAGTTTGTAAATGTAAATAATAAATCTTCTTCATACACCAAAGTTAGTCATGTAGTTCCTCAGGGCTCAGTGATTGGGCGAATACTCTTTACTTTATATATGCTTCCATTAGGTAAAGTTATTAAACAGCATGGGATAAATGTTCATTGTTATGCTGATGACACACAATTATATTTGTCCATTAAACCCAATAAATCCAATCAGCTATTTAGACTACAAGCATGTCTTAAAGACATAAAAACCTGGATGACCCTGAATTTTCTCCTTTTGAACACAGACAAGACTGAGGTTTAGATTTTTGGACCTGAGCACCTTAGGAATGAATTTTTCAGTCTTTCTCCCTCCTTAGATGGCATTAATCTGTCCTCCAGCTCTAATGTTAAAAATCTTGGTGTTATTTTTGATCAGGACACGTCTTTTATCCCCCACATTAAAAACGTTACTAGAACTGCCTTCTTCCATCTGCGTAATATCACTAAAATTAGAAACATCTAAAAATGATGCAGAAAAACTGGTCCATGCATTTGTCACGTCTAGACTGGACTATTGCAATGGTTTATTATCTGGGTGTCCAA